ATCTGTTGTTATTGACCATACCATTACCTTCAATGATTGGTTCAACTGGGAAAACTCCTTTATTGTGAATGGAGTCTACAAATTAAGCAACAAGCAGATGCATGCTGGCTCTGTACAAACACCAACTTGAGTACATGTGGGATCGCCAACTTGTGCAATTCGAAGGAACTTTCGACAAGAAGATCTCTGGAAATACCCGTCAGATTGATGCCCAGGTCTCCCTTTCCACTCCTTGGACTGAGGACATGAAACTTGATTTGCACCACCAAGATGATGGTGTTGAGTACAAACCAACACTTATCATTGAGTACAGGCCCTGGAATGAAGATTGAAGTTGCCTCTGTTCTGAAATGCGATTCATCATTCTTCTACACTGCATCCACTCTTACAACACCATTCTGGCAGCCAATGGGATACAAACTCAACATTGACTTCCAGCCAAGGAAGACTGCTACTCTTGTTTTAACCCGTGGAGCCAACAGAACTACTATTGACATCACAGGAAAAATTGAACAAGGAAAGGTAGATGGTGAGCTGCATATCGATTCTACATATCTTACCAAACCGGTTTCTCTGGAGGTGTTCTATGACATCATTTCAGCCGAAAAGAAAGTGAACTTGGCGCTTGATTTTGACAAGAGGTATGAGATAACAGGAGTCATTGCTGGTCACCTTAAACAAGCTAAATGGTCTCTTATGATGGACCTTCCTCTTGAAGCTGTACAAAAAGTTGGTTTTAGTGGCGAGTACAATGTTGAAGCCATGCCCTTCACTGCCAATACAGTACTAATTTTCAACACCCAGAAATACCAGGTAAATGGCAAGATCAACGTGGATGAATTCCAAATCAATATGGATTTGAATGGAAAACTGGAAGTTTGGTCAGCAGTTGGAACTACCAGGAGAACTACGCTGGTGTAGAAATCGACTTCCAGTCACCACTTACGACACTGGACAACATGTCTATCTCAGCAATGTATGACTTCCGTAGTGAAAAGAAAGTGACCCTCAAGATGACACGTAACTCAAAGGAAATCAACCTTTCTGGACGACTTGAAGGACAAACCATTGTTTTTGAAGGCACAACTCCATTCAGTGGATGGGAAACCTTAAGGCCTCATTCTTCATCTCCAGCTCTGCTGTTAAAGCCTTTGTGTCCAGGAATGACCGCAAGATTGAGGTTACAGGAACACTGCACATCAGAAAAGTCAAGGGAAAGATCAATCTCACCATCAATACTCCATGCTGGCTATGAAACCATTGCTGTTGACACAAGCTACAGCTTACAGGGCCAGGTGAAAACAGTGGAGTTTGAAGCCAAATTTGCTCGCAAGAACTCTCTTTGAAGGGAGACATCAAGACAAACAACATCCTAGCTCCTGAGATGACCCTCAATATCATTACTCCATTTGAAACTGTAAGAACTCTTGGTGGAGAAGCTCACTGGGACCTGAGAAACCTTGTCAAGACTGCCGAAGTGAAGGCTTTCCGCAATGACCGTCACTACCACTGGCAGTTAGAGGCAGCTGCTGATAGTCCCCTAAAGGGTTATGCCAAATCCAAGATCACAACTCCCATTGCTGGATGGACAACAGTCAGTTTGGAAGGAAACTTTGATTTCACCTCCATGCCTTACAGGGCACTTTTTACTTACAATAAAGAAGGAGTTATCAGCACATTTGAAGTACAAGCTAGTGTAGCAGAAACTGCAGTATCTGGTGAAATTACAACACCAATCTCTGGCTGGGAGAAGATTGCTTTGAATGGCGACTATTCTCTGGTTAACAACCTTCTGTCTGGAAATGTGGAGATCAAGAGTTCTGACAAATATCATCTCAATGGGGAGATTGCTTTTAATACTCAGAAGCCGAAGTTGAATATTGGCATCAGGACACCTCTAGCATATGCTGCTAATATTGAGCTGGTTCTTGATGCTAATCTAGTCGATACAGAAAAGAATTTCCACATTACCTTCAAAAGGAATGACATCACTTATTCTGCAGATTTCACAGGCCAAATGATCTACAAAACAGGATTCGTGAAGCTGCATACAACTTCGCCAATTCCAGGTTTTACATCCCTGGATGTTGATGCCAAATACGACTTTACTGGAGACGTGAAAACTGCCGAAGCCAATCTTATGAAGGAAGGAAATAACCAGCATATTTCACTGACCTCCACAGTCAATGACAACGATTTCCATGTTGAAGTTGAAACACCATTTGCTGGTTTTTGAATCTGTGAAGATGGACGGAGATTACGCTTACCTCAATAATAAACACAGTGTCTCAGCTTCATTTGAGAAGAATAGTCAGAAGTATGACTTCCATGCTGAGATTTCACTCAATGCCAACTCGGTTACCCTGACACTGGTAACCCCAATAGTAGACATTAAGCATGTTGTCATTAGTGGCAATTACCAGGCTATTGAGAATGGAATGGAATGTTCTCTTGTCATTGAAAGAAAAACCAGGATAAGTTTGAGTTTAATGCTCAAGGGTATTTTACACCCAAGAAATCAGATCTCCACCTCTCACTGGAGATGCCTGTTGAAGGCTGGAGGAAGCTTGAGCTGGATACCCACTATGATGTTATCTCCGACAAGAAGTCTGCTGAGATCTCTTCCAGAGAGATTCACTGATGAAAAAGCTGTATGTTGAGGGAAGCTACAATCTGAAATATGGATCTTTTAAGGTTATGACTCCTATTGAAGACTTCAGAGTCCTAGGTGCTGAATATACACTAAACCTTGATGAATATAACAAGAAACTGGATGCTTCTGTAAAGATCAGTCAAAACTCCAATGAATGGGCTTTCGAGGCACATGGACAATTCAGTGATGACAACATTGTCATTAAGTTCCAGACACCATTTGAAGGTTTTGACACCATTGCTGTAGAAGGAAACCTAAACTATGGAAACAGATCTGGAAGAGGTGTCATTCAGTTTGGACCTTATAAGTTTACCACCAGCATTTCCTACGCAAATGATAATATGTCCTTTGATCTGACGACTCCCTTTGATGTTATCAAGACTGTGTCCCTTTCAGCCCGGTACAGCTGGACCACCAGCCAAAAGGGTGCTACTCTAAACATCACTTACAATGACAAGAACTTTGTTCTCTCAAGTTCTGCAGCTCTCTACAAGGGCCTCTAACATCACCTTCCAGGCCACAACTCCTTTCGAGGGTTTCCAGACTCCTTCATTGAAATCAAGTATGACATTGATAACAGAGAGGAGCTCCTTGCATCTCGTGTCAGTGTAGATGATCACAGCTACAGCTTTGTTGTAGGTGGATATATTGAGGACAAGCTAGCCGTGTTCAAGTGGAACCTTAACTCTCCTCTCACTGGCTGGACTGATGCCAAGTTTGTAGCTAAGATTGATCTTTCCAGTGAAAATAAAAACTTGGAAATCTCCCTTGAGAAAGAAGGAGACCTTAAAGCCATTGCAGTCTCTGGCAAGTTCATTGGCAGTACACTGGACTTTAATCTGCGAACTCCTTTCAGAGGGCTCAATAATTTCAATGTGTTTGGTTCTCTTAACCGGTCCAAGAGGTCTCTTGAAATGAGAATGATGAATGATGCAGGACAAGCATCTTTAGCTGGCAATTTCAACTCCCTCAGATTCAACATGAAGACTCCATTTGAAAGGGCAGAACAGATCTCCTGGGAGGTCACCAAGACTGGTGAAGGCTCCTACAAGGCTGAATGGAGGAGGAATGATAATTATGCCATATCATGATAGAAAAGGATGGAAAGAAAATTCTTTTGTGAAGAGTGAGTTTCAAGGATGGGAGATCTTGGCTCTTACTGGAAGACTAGATCAAGAGACAAAACAGGCCTACCTCAGTGGAGCCATCAATGAACAGAAAATCACCATCTCTGGATCAGGTTCCTTTGGTAACAAAATCAAATTCAGCATGACAATTGAAACTCCCTATGAAAATTACAGAGTTGTAGTTCAAGTAGATTATGAAAAAGAAAGAACGCAATCAAACTGGAAGCTTCTTCATCCTCTTCTGATTTCCATCTTCTTTGGTCACGCTCAGGATCAGGCCTTGAAGCCCACCTTATTGTACCTAATTCACAGCAGAATACTGAAATTTCCATTAACCTCACCCCTACTCAAGGAAAAATAACCATAACATCACGATTCGAGCCTATCAGGGATTACCTCCAAGAATACCATGTTAACCTTGGTCAGAATGATATCACTGCTGACCATATTATCAAGCTGAATGGTCATGAGGTTTTCAAGATGGACTTTGAGAGGAATGCTTCTGAACAGAAGGGACACCTGGAAATTCACATTCATGTAGCAGAACGCCACACAACTATTCACTTCCATCGTGAGGGCTTTAGCAAGCTTAATTTCCTCTTTAAACGTGAGGTTCCCCAGTATGGCGAGAAACACTTCAAGGTCGACATAACTGGATCAGGAGCATTACCACAAAAGGGTGCACTTGATATTGTTGTTGAGAACACCTTCCGTGAACCAGCGAGATCCATCAATGCACGTGTTGAAGTAGACCGGACTGGTGCCCGAAAGAAAATCAAGTTGGAAGTTATTCCACAACCAAGCAGACTGTATGTTTTTAACCTTGACTATGATGCAGACCTCCAAAGCCCACACACGGAGACTTCACTTGAGCATTACAACTCCTGCGAATGTATCCATGGCAGAATGTGTCTGGAAACTGGAATGTTGAAATCCAAATGATGCTACAATAACCTTCACAATGGGCAACATGACTTATAATGCCAGAGGCAAGCTTACTCTTAGGGAATCCACCATGATACTCTCTTCAACAGATCCATCCGCTGAGAACATTTACCTACAGTGGAAATTTGAACGAAATGGCGACACCAGAGATTACTTCCTTAAGCTTGGCCGTGAGTCCAAATACGGAATGCTGAAGCTGACGGGAACAATTACGGATATTGCTCATGTGGATATTGAAGGAGGCTTCAAGGCTGGACCATTCATGCCATATTGCT